ATTCATTTCTTTTCTCAGTGATTTCTAGATGGCATTTGTACAAGTGGCTTATTATGGTTAAAAGCTCTTAGATAAACCCCTCCGATAGTGTAGCCCCCTCCCTAAATGTGCACACTCCCATTCTATTTGTCACGCTTTGTTCCAGAGGCCAGATACCTCTTTCCTCTTTTGGTTCTGGTATTATAGTTCCTTCTAATCTCCAACTTTGACCTACAGATATTTTCCTGATTGCCTCCATCTCTTACTTAGCCCTTGTTCTGGAGTAAATTGGGTGGCTTTAGTGTAAAAAGACATCTGCTGGCTGTATTCATGTCTGTACACTGAAAACTCTGCATCTGGCCCTACTTTCCCCCAACAATTGGCTCTGGGTAGATGTGCCAGTTCCAGGAAAATCAAACACTCCTGGATCTTGTAAGATTAATGAAGGGGTGGGGTGGTTGGAATTAGAGTTTGTTCCACTTGCCACATTTTTGACTCTCAATTCGATTCCCGACCAGAATGTGCAAGGCAGCCATCTCCTCAGGCTCAAGCCTCCATCTCTTTGGAGACAGCTGTGTGGTTTACCTGTGTGCTCTAGTCAAGGCTACATGGCAGTCACATGACTTTGAAGTCTAATTTTACTTTAATTATCTTTGGATGTCTCTTCCCTTGTCTCCTCCAGTAGGAACCAGAGTAGATAAGGAGGAACAAATGAATGAATGACCAAATGATGTCCAAAGGTGGGGTGTGGTAGGAACAAACAAGACAAAACTGGGCAGAGAAAACCTGTCACAAATACACACACCCCAAAGGCTTGGCAGCATCTTCCATTCGGCTGTAAGAGTCATGGTATTTTCTCCCAATCTGGAACCATATCAGGCTATCCCTGAGCTGGCACAAAAATCTCAAAGTGCTGGGATGTGTAAATTGTCACGTTTCTGTTGCTCAATGCCAGGGTCAGGTAACTCAGAGATTGCATGTTACAGTGTCATCAGAGGCTAGGTCTTTTATGAGTTAACACATCTCATCTTTTCTCATCGCAGTTTATTATTTTTTAAAGTGCTAACACATTAATTTTACTGCCATAGAACTGTGTTTCTTGTTATTATTTTTAAGTTCTTTCATTCGTCTGTGTCAGGAGCTGCAGCTGAAACTCCAAGATGCCTGATTCCAGGAAGAATTCCCAGGGTACAAAATGAGGAAGGCACACTTGCGGTGTCAGGAAAAACTTGTTTAGTTAGAGTCTCATCTTGGTGCCCTGTTGCCCTTTTTAAACAAATGTATTGGATTTTTTAACTTTATTGCTGCTTCATAGCCCAATACCTAAAATAGACTTCTCTACCTTCGTGTATGTGGGAGAGTTTACTTAACAAACGATTCGATGTTGTCTTTAACAGGGCATGTTCTTAACCTGGATTATTGTACACAGATAGACCATCACATGTGAAGTGCTCACGGCTCCTAAGCTTTCACCATCCTTTCTTTCCCCTGCTTCCAGCAGTGTTTTGAATCATGAGCTGGGCTGTGGTGAATAAAATTCAGCATGCTCTCTGTAAGTTGCATGCATTGCTGAAATGTGCCACTCTGATTGAATAAAAGCTTCGTGGGGAAATGACTGGCATAGAGTATCCTCCACGGAAATATCACTTGTAGACTATCTCATTTAATTGTACCACCAAGTTCACGAATTGAAGTTGCCAGCTATTGCCCTTTCGTCCAGTTGATTTTGTCTTCCTCTATTTATCATAATTGTGTGATTAATAGAGACAGTGGCTTTTATCAGAAACATCCAGCAGTGGCAGAGCTGGAAATAGTTGGGTCTTCAGAAATAGTAGTCAGGTTCAAGGAGGAGGAAAGCAACAATGTTAGCATCCCAAATATGGGAAGATTGCCTCTCTATGACCCATGCCTAGGAAAGGATCTTGTGCAGCCTAAAAAGGCCCTAGAAACATTGAGAGAAAGATTCCTGCAGTGGAATAACTAAAACTCCCTGTTCAGTCCAGGTTAGGTAAAGTGTGATGCACAAATGTATTGTGGAGTTCTCAGCGCTTCTTCCCCTGAGTCTTCGTTCAATGTTCCCAAGCCCATCTCCCGGCCCTTTTAGCTACCTCTGTGTTCTTCTCCAAGGGTCTTGATCTCACTGACTTCCGACACCTTACTTTCATTCAGATTTTAAAGGATGTACTTCCTGCTACTTAAGGAATCCAGTTCTAAGGTTTAAGACAGTCAAAAAATTTCTCCATACTTGAAGCCTCCATGTCTAACGTCCTTTCTCTCAAAGTGTCTGTTTTGTCTTTAGTAATCCAGATTCAAACCATCATCCCTTCACCAACTTTCATAAAGAATTTGCTCACTTCCGTAATCTTGATCATGATGTGGAGCTCCAAGGAAAAAGGCTACATATTAGCAGGCATGGCTTTCCACCAACTCCTTGGCTCCTCTCTTCATTCCCCATTTCCTAGAACAACAAATTCTTCCCTCTTACTCATGTAGGGCATTTCTACCTCCTCTAACTTTCCTTGGAGTCTTCTTACACCAAACAAGTTGGTTAAATCAATTAAAATAATTTTTTTCTAGGAAAATACAGAGCTTTTCCTAAGAAACTACAGTAAATCACTTAAAAATAATTCTTTATATTTGTAAAGGCCTATCGCTCCATGCCCAATTTTATATCTCCCCTCCTCCAAATTTGACTCAACTCAAATATTTTCTATTTCTTGAGCCTAGCTGGGCTAGACTTGATCATAAGGCAATGGACGTAAAAACTTTCCATCTCTTTAACTTTATGGATAAAGTGTTAAAAAATAGGTATAATCAACTCAAACAAGAAAGAATCAAGAAAAGACCCTTTACCAAGGAGGATGACGTGGACTGTCTACTTCTGGAAAGCCTGGTTGAGAGGACATTACCTCAGGCTTCATCTTGGGTTTAGAAGTACACAAATTGGTGTCTCATTCTTGATATTCAGCCACTTACTTGTGTGATCTTGGGCAAATCACTTCTATGCTCAGCCTCACTTTCCTCATCTGCCAAAAAAGGATAATTGTACCTATCTTCCAGGTTTTGGTTCTACTACAGAAAAATCATATATATGAAAGACCCATTCCTTGAGCAGTGTATGCTCTCAAAGTTTCTTAGTTTCCCTCCTTCTCTTTCATTTGTCATTGCAATTTTATTTGACTGATTAACCCAATATTAGCTCATCTATTTCCTAGATATTTTTTCAGACTAAAACTGTTTTTACTTTCGTTCCATTCTGGGGACAGTAGTAATACTTAAATATTATCTTGGAAACACAGTAATTGCTTTTTCTGTCTTTCTTTCTTTTCTTTTTTAGAAAATACTCATTTGTGATAGAACTGCCACATAGTCTTGAAAAATAAGGAAAGTCAGAGGATGAATGACTATTTTCCAGAAGACAGGTAAAGCATATTTGGTAGATTAATTCTCAATTCACCTTCTCAGAGGAAAAGGACAAAACCCTCATTTACCAAGATTCTAAAGAGATTTTCAGGCAGGTCCCTAGCCAGCACCACATCCGTCTTGGCTTTCAAGCCTTCATTCCCTAGAGCTTGGTGTTCTTGACCAGGCCCTAAACCTTTTATTGAGCTGCAAGAAGACTCGAGGAGACAATCGGCTCCTTGTGTTGACATTCAGTGTCTGGTGGCTCCCAGGAGAAGGATGGCACAGGTGCTTATCAAGGAATCAATCTTTCTGCCTAACATCCCCTTTTTCTTCAGAAGAAAACTAGCCAGCGCAATTACCTCATCCAGAACAATTACCTCACTTTAAACTGTTTATTCTCTAGAGAAAGGTGTTTGGGAGCAGGTAGCACTTGGCAAGACAGATGGAGTTTTTAAAAGTATTTGTATCAATATTAAGTGTGGGCAGCAGGGAACTGTTGGGAAGGTTGTCTTTCTTTGAAACCAAGAGTTCATTTTCTATTGGGGTCAACCAGGCAAAAGGGGACACGTACTCTGACCAGCTGAGTTCTGGCACCATTTTGGGGGCTCGATATAGCGAGAGGGAATGCTTTGCTCTGCCTGTGGAGCCCTGGACTCAGGGCTAACTCCCCAGGTGTGTTCTTTGCTCTGAACTGTGTGGCCTAAGGCAGTCTCTCCGAAATTACTCCTCCTGTGGAGGGAAGAAAAAGACGCAGCCATGAGGTACTTTCAAAAGCAGTTAAAGAAAGATTTGACAGTCTATTCAAAACAAATCACACTTTTAAGAAAAGTCTGCTTTCCTTTTTCTTACAAAGGCCCAGCAAGACTCTCCTTTTCCTGATAATTTAGAAGCAAGACAGTTCCCAGGGCCCAGATTAAAATAAACAAACAAAAACAGGAGCCATCATAAAAGAGGGAGCTTTCTGAAAAGTTGGAGGATTCCGGGGAGACTAGGACCACAGACAAGGGCATTGTGGGGGGGGGGAGGGGGAAGTAAGAATAAAAATGGATCCCATATCTCAATGCACCCATGATTGTAGTTCCCCCACCTCTTTTCTTATATGCGTGCATATTCAGCATCGTTGCGACAACAATTTATTCTAGTGTTATTTTTCCCCACTTAGCATTTAAGTCTTTTTTTCTTCCTTTGAATTTTTCCGGAGCGATGTCTGATCTGATGTTTAAAAATGCAAACAGGAGAGGCAGCGCCGTGAAAGGGCTCAAAGTTGAACAGAACAGAGGTTTCGTGGAAACAGCAGACTCTGAGTTAGGAAGCCGAGATGCCCACATCTTTCTGCACTGGGTTCGTCTCCAAGAGGCCCGCCGGCTTTACTCCCGTCACAAGGCGTGTGCCTGTCTCCCCGCGCCGAGCTCTGGCCCCGCTTCCTTTCTCCCGGAGCCAGGACTATCTGCCGATCGCGGGGGAACCGGGGGGCCAGCGCCGCCGCCGCGGAGCTCACCTGCGCCTCCCGGGCTCCCGCCCCGCGCGGGGGCAGCCGCTGCCCCGCCCGCCGCCCCGCCCCGGCCCGGCTCATTGGCTGCAGCTCAGAGGGGAGGAGAGGGGGCGGCCGCGGGGGTCTCATTAGCGATGCGGGCGCGCTGCTCCGCTCCCTAGTCCGGAGCCCGGCAACCGCGGGAACACCGAGAACCGCACGGCGGGGACGGCGGGCGACTCGGGCAGCGGCCGTGCGGCAGCGGTCGCCGCGCCGTGGGAGGCTATGGGGGCGCGCGCTTCCTCTGGGTGCCCAGCTGGCGGCCTGGAGCGCCCTGACCCTTTGCTGTAGGGAGCGGCCACGGAGCACAGTCACTCGCTAGAGCCCCCGAGACCCCTCGTCTCGGCCCGCGGCTCGCCGTGCCGCTCCTGGACTCCCGGCGCGCGGAAAAGGAACCGTACTCCCTAGCGGGACGAGGATGGGGAGAGCGGCCACCGCAGGAGGAGGCGCTGGAGGGGCGCGCCGCTGGCTCCCTTGGCTGGGTCTCTGCTTCTGGGCTGCGGGGGCTGCGGCTGCCCGAGGTAAGCGCCGGGCGGAGCGCGCGGCGGGCTGGGGCGAGAGCGAGGGCGAGACGGAGCGGGACCCGTGCCGGTGGCGTTGGCTCCCCAAGTTGTGCCCTGCACCTCTCCGCGCGCCCAGCCCAACGGGATGGCCCTCGGGCGGAGGACCTCCGAGGGGACCACTGCCTCCCACCCCAAGTTTGTGATCAGCCGCAATCCTACAGGTTGCTGTGACCGGGCCCCCCTAACCTTTCCTTACTCTCCTCGCTTGCTCCATTTTCCAAGCCCTTCCCCGTTGCTGCAGCCTGGAGCACCCACCGCTTCACTCCAGTCTCGCTCTCCCCTGTCCTCTCCAATTCCTTCCAAGGAGAGATCGTTCGAGAGCGGGGGTGGGGTGCCAGGAGTGATGTCCCAGAGTTCCTGGGGAGAGGGGCCGGATGGTGGGAGTCTCTGTAGAGGGGGTTTGAATAGAGAGGGCGCCTTTTCCCTTCGGGGAGCAACACCCAAGTTGACGTCCGCTAAGCTTGACACCCCTTGGGGGACACCAGCCGGAGGTGCTAGCCAGCACTCTGCTTTCTTTCGAGGAGGCCGCGTGTGTGCGGGAGCTGGGGAGAGCTGTGCACCATCTGCGTTTAACTGCTCCTGCAGTGCCGAGCCCGGATGAGCAGTTGGCCCGAGGCCGCTCACCCGGCGCCTCCTCTTGCTACCGGTGCCTCCTCCAGCTAGGGAGCTCGGGAGCGCGGGGCCCCAGCTGAGCGGCAGGGAAACCGCTGCTTCTTTCCGACTTTGAAACATAAAACCATTTTCCTGAATCCTCTGGACTCCAGCAGAGCGAAATTTTGCAATTGGTTTCAGCTCCACCTTGAGCGAGGAACAGGAGCGTTAACTTAAAGATAAATCCCGCGGACTTGTTTTGAAGATGATCAGAGTCAGTTTCAGATAGAGCTTGAGTATGGTGGCTTTACCTTTGAAACAATCCGGAAGGTTCTCCTTCCCGCCCTTCTCTACCTTTCCCTTTCCCTGTGTGTCGTCCATTAGGCTTAGAATATGTAACTGCATTAAATGATTTACCTAACGCTTGTCTGCTGAGAGGTGGAACTGAGCTGACCACCTCACCTTGCTCTGCTGGCTATCCTGCACGTCATCTGAGGAGCCGCGAGACGGGAAAGGGTGGAAGGGGTTGAGCACGATCACAAAAGAGCCAGTATAATCTCATTTTTATAAAAGCTAACGGTGTGTTAAAAGCAGTCGTGCTGCCTGGAATGAAGAATTTAAAAAAAAAGGTGGATAGAGGCTCTCCGTTTAATGATCCTGTTCAGTGACTATTTGCATTTCATTTCCTGAAAACTTTTTTTTTTTTTTTAATGGAGCAGGCTTTTTAAAAAGCAGCAAAGGTTTAAAAATGAGCCTCAGTGATTGCACACTCTGGGTTATGGGGAAGCATAGTTCTTTCCCTTGCTGGAAGAAGCACAAGCTTCAGCCATTTAATTTACTACGGAGAATGCCTCCTTGCAAAGTCAGCTCTGACTTGTTTTTAATACACTGTTATGGGGAAAAGCAGCGGGCCTTTTCTTTCCTAAGGGTTGCTGTAAATGTCTGTGTTCTCACTTGCTGTTCGATGCAGAATACCCAACAGTGGCTGACTCCATGTACTGACCTCTTGGAATTTGGTTGGTGGAGTTGTCTTGAAGCCAGCTGTAAACAAGAGGTGGGGACATGCCAAAAGCCTCTTGGATGGAGTTTTGCTGGCTGCGAAACTAAGGCTAGCACCTCTTGTCTGCAAGCTGTTCTTTAAAGGTCTCCTGGAAAACATACTGTACACTCTGCAGGCTTATTTACAACAAATGTCTTGCACAGATCGTAGTAATGTTCAAGACACATGGAGTGGAGCAATAAATCTGACTAATATTTCCCTTGTAATATTTTACTTTCTGGGGCATGAAGCCCATTACCTTTAGCATCTGTCAGAGCTTCCTCAAGAAATGAACAGTAAGCAGGCGATGAAACCTGTGAAGCCACATGCACCTGGCTTTGGACAGGTGGGCACAATTGGAGTGATCAGAGAAAGGGTGTGTTTCAGTGTTCCTTGGTTCTCGAAGCCCGGGAAGGGGCCCATTCATTATGAGCAAGATGAGGTGCCCTCTGTGGCATGCTCTCAGTAGTCTCACCACACTTTATAGGGTTGGCCCTAGATTATTCTTATTTATCCAAGTAAATACTTTTTGTTCTGCAAGACTGCATGTTGATTTGAACCAAGATATTCTGCCTTCTCTAAACAAAAGGATATACAGAATTATGCCATTTGCTTTGATGGTATACGAATATTTAACAATTCAGTAGCATTTTCTTTACAATTATTTATCCTTTGTTTCCAAGATGGTTGCACCAACTCCTGTTTTTTTTCCTTCCCTGCAAAGTTAGTGTGAAACCCTCTGAAAATCAGAGGGAGATTTCAGATAATTGTCTTTGAATATACTCAGAGAGGAAAATACTTGGGGCAGGGGACGACCTGCAGAATCTGGTAGTGACCCAAGGAGCAGTGTTCTGGTTCCCTCCCGCATAAGCAAGACTTTCCTCTCCAGACTTATTTCCTGACTGGTCGCATACTCTAAGGAAGGCACTTTGGTGCTGTGATTACTATATATTTTAACACTTTCCAACTTAAAAGAAGGTTGCTTGAGAGTTATTTGTGACCTGCCAAGTGTTAATTGAATCCACATCATGTTGTCATACTGATTTGTTTTTGTTCTTTGAAAAAAAGGAGTAGTGCTGTTGGTGTGGTCATGATTCCTGTATTAGATACTGTACATGAGACATCCTAGTCCAAAGGTAGGGAGGAAGGTAACTGAGATAGACTGAGCTTTCACACAATTCCTTGCTTTAAAAATTTCCTCGACAATGAACCCTTCCTTACAGTTAACTACAGTAATACATTAAAGGCAAGAGAAGTACACTTATTTTATAGGCATAATAGGGTCATATGGTCTATGCCTTCTTAAATCTCTTTATCTACCTAGCGCATACAGTTTTAAACCTATAGTAGTTTCTTCCTTAACAAATATTATGAGAGCCCCCCTCCTCTTTCTGTTCCTTTTCCTCAAAAATCTCTCTCCACAGGGCTATGAGAAAAGAGCCTTTTCTCCCAATTTCCTACAGGATTTGGCTTTTTCTGACTTTTGGGTTGTGCTTTTAGCTTGAGTGCTTTGTCTCACCTTCTTTTCCTACCTACCTAAGTGTTCTGCTCAAGAGATCTTTTAAGTATCTCAGTTCTTAAGAAGAGTGAATTGTTCTGACGTGGCCCTGTGATGGCAGCACTTGTCAACCTTTTTTATAGTCTTGCTATGAAAAATAATAAGGCCCCCCTTACGTCTTTCTTCACTCTTCAGATGACCTCTGTGTGGGTCTGTGGTTCTTTACGTGGTCCCCTGTAGGCTGGGGAAACCCACGGAGCTCTAGGATTCCTGCCTGAGCTCTCTCAGAACTGGATGACTGGATCGGTCAAGTAGTTTCAGACCTGCTGTCTTACTAGTTAGGGAAGCACTTTTCTGTCTATTGCCTCAGTGACTCGTAAACTTGTTTTTTATTGTCCTCCTACCAAATATAATATCCAACTTAAAATATTGGCAACTTTAGAGATTTATCAAAAAATTAGTTGTTCAAGAGATAGTGAATATTTGATACCACCCCCTTGTACCTTTTCTTCTTCTTTTTTTTAATATGGAGAGTGGAGACGCAGACCACATGTATTAAAATCTAATCCCAAAGATGGGCATACCAAGAAAGATTTATTCCATCACATATTCTTTTTACTTTTTTTCTTTTTTTTTTTTGAGGAAGAGTAGCCCTGAGCTAACATCTGCCGCCAATCCTCTCTTTTTTGCTGAGGAAGACTGGCCCTGAACTAACATTCTGAACTAACATCTGTGCCCATCTTCCTCTACTTTATATGTGGGACACCTGCCACAGCATGGCTTGACAAGTGGTACATAGGTCCGCACCCAGCATCCGGACCTGCAAACTCCAGGCTCCCGAAGTGGAAGGTGTGAACTTAACCACTGCACCAGCAGGCTGGCCCCACATCACATCCTCTTAAGGAAGGTGGTGGTGGTGAGGTGGTGATACAGGATATCCTCTTCATGGACAGGCACACATGTTCACAGAGAGCCCAGATGGGCCCTCCTTCTTAATTACACTTTTGCCATTAATCCTGATTGTCCAATACTTTGGGCAGTGCCACTTTACCAGCTATGTCATTGTCTTTTCTGTCCTCCTTATTCTGATGCCTTCATGAACTAACAGCATGGCTGAATAACCAATGGGAACTTTCCTCTGTCATTCCCAGCTGCATACTCTAGGCAAAGACACTTATCTGCTCATCCCCTCATTTGCTAAATGGCCAGCGTTGGCATGAGAATGACCATCTTGTTGCTACCACTCTTTATATTATGCATATTCCTTAAGAGAAGCCATTTTTGCAGCCTTGTTTGAATATGAGGTAATAATAGTAATTATTGTGTTTAGTGTGTGCCGTTGATTATTCTGAATGCTTTACACACATTAACTCATTTAATCTTTGAAATAACTCCATGAGGTAAGTAATATTACTATTCTCATTTTTAAGATGGGAAAAAAGGGCACAGAGAGGTTAAGTCACTTGCTTAAAGCTACAGAGATAGCTTATGGAGGAGCCTGGATTTGAACCTACGCAGTCTGACTCCAGAGCCGACAACAAGGACAGGTTTCTAACTATGCTGAAAATGAAATGACCCTTATATTTTGGTGACAAAAGTGCTAAAATTATATCTCTATAACTGTGAGAGTTGTAGAGGAATTTAGAGTAGCTTAAATAAATCTGGAAATATATTCAGATAAATCTCCGAGATTTATGTTGTGTGAAAACAACCACCCTCTCACCATTAAGCTTAATATACTTTGGGATTGGATTCACACTTAAAATTCTGAATGCCGGCTTCTAATATGATAGCTTGCTTTTTTTTTTTTTCAATTTTGAATTTCAACAG